CTCTAGAGTCGCGAAGTAAGGAGTTGATCCTTACGTCGCGGGTTCGAATCCCACTATGGGACGTGGAGACCGGTCCTTCGTATGAGGCCGTATAAACCGAGGTCCCGTGTCGTAGTAGGTGCTGGCACGAAAAAGATCCCTCACTGCTCAATGGCCGTAAGTGCCGAGTATAGGACAACATTTGCAGCTCTCCACCGGCAAGTGGTGGCGTCTCCATATGATTAATGATTGATTAATTGTTGTTTTACGTCCCATTCGAGAATTTTTCACTCATATAGAGACGTCACCATATACCGGTGAAGGACTTCAAATTTAGACCTTTACTCAGAACTTAGGGCCCTTGAGCAGTGAGGGATCATTATCGTGACACGGGGCCTCGGGTTTTAAGGTCTCATCCGAAGGACCCGCAACTTTCACTTCAAAATGCCGAGCGCATGGCGAAGGAACAGTTGCTACCCATTTTTATCGACTTAGGTCTGTCGCGGCCGAGATTCGAACTCACGACCTCCCGATCACGGATTTTCTTCTTTTCATCAAGGGCAGATAACTCTTCAAAAACGTTTAAGGTGCAAAACGACCGTCTTCTTACATGTTATTAGTCAAGTGAATTTAGTTCATTTCACTTTCATTGTTATATAGCAAGAAATATTTAACTAGTTTAAAATGATTCAAAATAGTTCAATACCCCTACATTATACATTGAATACCTTAAAACAATAGAAATCGGGAGCAGAGCGAACTCGGACCTCCAAAAACATCAGAGGTGGGATCAGAAGCTAAAGGCATTCTGCACACCTTACTCACCCAACTTTGTCCGCTGTGTGTCGTTTTAAATTTTCCAGAACCTCTCTGGATTTCGGAAAAGAGTAGGCTCACTGGGGGCCGCCAGAGAAACCAAAACCTTTCAAAAACTGCTATCAACTAAATCATCCGCCGAAATATCGTATAATGGGTTATTTTTACTGCTGAAAATTTTTACGAATTTTGGTTCAAAAAGAGTGATTTAAATTTTTACGTGTTAAATTTTTACGAATTGAGCATGTCTGTAAAAATTAAAATCATCGGAGGTAAAATTCCAGATCAATGATTGTTAGCACTTTGAATGCGTTTACATAAAAATTAATGTGTCTGGACAACCCGATGTAAGAATAAAGAAATTGTTCCCGTGATAACGATTCATTTAATTATAATATGTTTGTTCATTTACCTTTCTACACCATATACCCTTCATTTATTCCTGTTTTTTAATACACATTGCTAGGTACCTGTATCATTATTGTTGCGCACCACGTGCTCGTCTTGATTTACCGGAAACAAAGAGAGACAACTCAAACCATCATGATTTAATTGACAGTATTACAGTGTATTAAAAAGTCGAAGTTTTTATTCGAAGCACATAAAACAGAAGAAAGGGTCAAAGACTTAAAATTATAAATCTTAAAGCAATATGAGCTGCAACTTTGATGTCGGAATTTTTTTTTCTTATTGTACTTAACTATTTCAATGACAGAAAAAATATCGTTTATAAAGTTCTTTTGTTCATATTTGCGATGGAAGAACCATCTATAAGCTTTGATTGAAGCAAAATTACATTATTGTCGTCCTGTACAATATTGATTTTCATATGATACTATATATATTCCATTGTACAGAAATCTTTCTTCTGAAACAATTTAACGCTTTATTTTAGTCTTATTGATCATGAAGGTTTAAGTCACATACAGATTTACCATAACAGCACATTTTAACTAAAAATAAAATTTTCAAAAATGCGAAATAAAAAAAATCCGTATTAAAAACCATGCATGTAGACTACGCAAGTAAATTTTAATTTAGCACGTCATAAATTCCCGCTTCCCTGAAGCCGCTTGTAACAATCTCTGGGGGTCCTTTTGTACAAGCCATTTCAAAGGAAGAGGTTTTACCACAGATAAAAGTAGAGGAACCGGTTTGATTGCCCAAGTTGATTCGGAGCTTTGTTCTAAAATTAAATCCGTGTACCATGCTTGGAATTTTTTTTTTCTGAAATCTTTTGCGGGTTTTTTTGAATACATATATCCATGGGTTGAAGCTTGTCTGTGTAACTCGCCGGAACCATATAACTGGTACAATGGATTTCTCCTTCAACAAATCCATTAACTCCTCAGCGATCTGAGCTTTAAATACGTCGAATAAGCACAGTGTTTTTCTAATGGCAAGTCAAGATCATCTTTCACCTGTTCGATGTAAGGAAGGATGATCTTCTTTACACACCTAAATAAGGTAGAGAATAACTTGTTTTATTATATGATTGAATAATTCGTACCTCTCTGATTGGCTGAGATCCAACAATGTAGAATTCCCATGCACGTGACCTTCCAGGTGGATATAAGGATTTATTTTCTCTACATTGGTCTAAAAAAGAGCTGGAAAGTTCAAATTGATACAAAAAGTTTTGAAAAGCTATTTCACTTGCTACCGACTTCCACTCAGGAGAACATAACAATAGGAAATATATAATTTCGGGGGGGTCGGGGGGGGGGGGGGTGGGCTGCAAGTGACATCCCTCAAACTCTTTTTTTTCTGAACGTAAATGTTTACTTTTAATTTAGACTAAAAATATTCATTGAAATGCTGGTGAACCTTAATTGCCAACCTCTTATCCCACCCAAACCCCAAACAAAATTTTATGTAGAGAATTCTCTACTCGTGGGGACTAGTCAAAGATTTTTTTTTTTCAGTCTACATTTTTCCCCGATAATGCCCCCCTTTTAAAATTGATCCTATAAAAGAGCCTGATATTATTTCTTTTTTTTTTTCATAGCAACTAAAGTAGACTTTAAATAAAAATCCAAATAAATACGACTGGTAATTGTATTTAACCCTGCTTCTCTCATTGCTTTTTGCTAGGTCTTCAGCAAATGTAAAGATGGCATGAACTGCTTAATGAGTTTGTATCATTTAATCATTGAATCATATAATGAAACAATTATTGCTGTTTTGAGGTCAATACGATGATTTAGCCACCGTCGAAGTACGCATATTCACCTCGCCCTTTGGGTTCGGTGAATATTGTACTCCTCAGGTGGCTAAATCATCGAATTGACCTCAAAAACAGCAATTATAATTGTTTTATTATATGATTCAATAATGAACTCCGAGGGTAGGGTGGGATAACTTTGGGTGAACAAAGGTTTACATGGGAATACATAGGGAAAATTCTTTGAAATTGCCTTCTCAAGAACAGCAAAGCCATGATTAGTCATATTTATACGGAAGCATCCTCAGGTAGTAGAGATTCAATTTTGTTCAAATTATGAACCCGGGGTCAGGATGGAACTACAATGGGCAATCAAAGTTTTACATAAGAATAAATAGGAAAATCTTTGAAAAACTACTCAAGAACAGCAAAGCCATGATCAGTCATATATAAAAGGAAGCATCCTCAGGTAGTGTAGATTAAAATTTGTCCAAATCATGACCCCCGGGGTTGGGTGGGGACACTATGGGCGATCAGAATTTTACAAAGGAATATATAGGAGGCGTGTTATAAAACCTAGCCTGTAAGTTGGTCTGGCCTCTAATTTGGCTCCAAACCAAATTTTGGTCTGGCCTCAAATATGGCATCTGTAACTCGTTTTTGGCCTCACCCAAAAATGATTTCTTTTTCAGAATGTGATTGATTTTTTATTGGTTTCTGTTTTTCTAATTTTAAGCAGATAAATAATATATTTCTGTTGATTTGTAAATGTGCAAATTAAAATAAATACTGTAGAAGCACAAATTTTCTTTGGGATGAATTTTTGTTGTTATGTCATCTAAGAAGGTATCTTGGGCATTAAATTTCGTTGTTTCGAAAGTAACCCTATTCTATATATAGTGTCGTATAAACATTTCGAGTGGGATTTAATTTCGTTGATAATTGTTAGCTACGAAATAAACAAAATTAAATCCCAACGAATATTTCTGCTTTTACAGTATATAAGGTTTTTTAATGAAAGCCGTAAAGCTTTACGGAGGATTTTTGTGTTTTCTTTTCGGCATGCTTATAGATATATGTAATGGCCAGTTGTGTATATTAAAAAAATAGTGCCAAGATGTGCGCATGCGCCAGCTATGTACAGATTATAAAGAGTTTTTAACTGGCTATGGTATCTTTATTTGTGGTTCAATTTGAGCCAAACTTATACAAAGTATACACATATGAAAGAACATATTTCTTCTGTAGTGAAAGGGTACTATTCTGTAAGTATGCGCCAGTTATATACAGATAATAGGGATTTTTTAACTGTCTATAATATCTGTATTTGTGCTCCAATATGAGCCAAACTTAAAGAAAGCACACACATATAAAAGGATATATTTCTTCTGTAGTGAAAGGGTACCATTTAGTGCGCATGCGCCAGTTATATACAGATAATAGGGATTTTTTAACTGTCTATAATATCTTAATTTGTGCTCCAATATGAGCCAAACTTATAGAAAGCACACACATTTGAAGGGACATCAAGGCACCTGGTATTGCGCATGCGCCAGTTATATACAGATAATAGGGATTATTTAAATGTCAGTGGTATCTTTATTTGTGCTCCAATATGAGCCAAACCTATAGAAATCATACACATATTGAAAGGAAATATTTTTTTCTGTAGTGAAAAGGCAACTGACTTTGCGCATGTGCCAGTTATATACAGATAATAGGAATTTTTAAACTGTCAATGGTATCTTAATTGTGCTCCAATTTTAGCCAAACTTAAAGAAGCCATGCACATATGATAAGACATTATTTTTTGTAGTGAAAGGGCACTATCCAGTGTGCATGCGCTAGCTATACACAGATAAAAGGGATTTTTAAAATATAAATTGTACACTATCTTTTCATCTGACTTGACTCAATTTTACACAAGATCTGAATATAATGAGGATTACAATATAACAATAGTTAATTACCACTTAAAATGCGCATGCACCAATCAATTAAAACTGATTAATTCTTACAGAAGGAGCTAAAGAAGTAAATGATGGCTACGACAAGACGTGGTGATAGAGATGGAGAAGATGTAAGTTATGTACATTTTAAATGTATTTTTTATGGAATAATATAACTCAAATTTTAATTAAAAGCTATAATAATTTGCAAAGCACTAAGTGAGACTTATTAAATACATGCAATGATGCATCCTTTATAGGAGCTGATTAGATCAGAGGCTGATCTGAGTCAGGAAGAGTTAGGTACTTTTTTTGAAAAGGTGCCCTACAACCCAGACTTCAAGGTAACATATGCTTACATATTTCTTCATTCTGATACGGTTCAATTTTATTATATCTCTTTATAATGACGGAACCATGTAAATTTTGTATTTAGTTACCAGCAAGCGACCGCTTTGAGGTCAACACTCATAATCCGCAGCCTATGAGGATTCGAATGAAGAAAATGGGAGGACACTTTCCCCATGTTGTAAACTACCAACCTAAGAGGAAAATTAACATCAAGAAAAGGGTAAATACAAGTTTTTTTAATACACAAATGCTCATAGAAATTGAATCATCAAACAAAAAACTTTCTTTATCCCTTTGATACAGAAAGCAAAAGAGGAAGATGAGGAAGAAGATGAAGAATATGCAAGAGCGGTGGAAGATGCAGAAAGAGACGATGATCCAGATTATGTACCTGAAGAAGAGGATGACGGAGGTGTACTAGATGAGGAGTATGCAAGATTGCCAAAGTAAAAGTCTTGTCCATTCCTCTAGTCCGCTGTGACAAAGTAGCCAAAACAACAGAACAGGTTTATAATTTATAAACTGTAAAAATCTGAATTAACTATTTCTCACAACAATCCAGATGTAGTATTTTTGGGTGTTCAATGACACTGGAAGCATAAATCGATTTACAAAATATCCATTGTTGCTTTCTAGAAAAAAGCCTCCACACCATTGATTAATCCTAACCCTAACTCTGATCCTGTTCTCCAACCTTGACGGACTAACGCAGCTATGTTAAGGCTTCCCGAAGCTTTAAAATGCGCTCAAAACATGATATGTCATTGCGAGGTCGGTTTTGGTTTTAATTTATAAGTATTGAACTTTAGTACTTCCAATTTATATAAAGGGTTTCCTCGGCTATATATTAACATTTTGTTATGATATCACATGACTTTGTTGATCACGTGACGGTCATTTATAATTTTTTGAAGTGTTTCATATAAATCGCTTCGGCGCAGCTGATTAACACGATAATTATTAACATTTTGTTATATAAATAAACTCATCGTATCCTTGTGTATCCGAAATGTGCTTGGGAAAAGTCATGGTATTACTTGGGTACAAAATATTTCCTGAGAAATTCAACTTACCTATTCAGTTAGAGAACAACCTCTTCTTACAGATTTCCACAAAAATTCTCAGATTAATCCTCATTAATCACCTGCGCCAGACTCTTTTATACACATAAAATAAATTCTACCTCCACCAAGGGTATAAAACAGAGTACATTTCAAAAGTATATTTTTCATAAGCATTTTGAACATGCTGAATTTCAATCAAGGGTAGGTAAGCGGTGTATTTTTAAAATATTCGGACATATAAGACTTAAAAAACCTTTAGCGACCCGTGAATTTTGCAATAGCTATCTAGCATTTTACATGCAGTTTGAAATAAAGTGTAAAGTTCATAACACTCTCCCCGTCATAACACCTCAAGTTTGCAGTGATTTGACGTCATTTTCCATTATGACGTCATATTTTGGTAGTTAAGAGATGTGAAGGCACAGAGTGCACTGTAGTATTCTACGGGAAGCCTTAACCTACATATGTACCTGCGAAGGGTAAATATTTCTGTTGGGATTATTTTGTTTTCAGTATAAGTATGTTACAAGCATATTACCTTCTATAGAAAACAAGAAAAAAGTAACCAGCAGAAGACCGAGGAAGGGCCCACGAAAACAAATATCGAGAAAGAGGAAGGAATGTCCGCACTGGGAAATAGAGGTAGTACATCTGCCAAGACACCTCATTATTGCACACGGATCGACCGTTATGCAGCAAAGGCAAAAGTAAAAACCTGCAAAAGCAAGTAAGCAAATTACCACGATTCAAATGGCAAAATCCATATAATAACGTTGATTTTCAGCTGTTTACCTTTCTGCATTTCCTAATAAGATTATTCTGTCTATAAAGATTAAAACTCTGCCCACTGAAAGGATGCAATGCTGTGGTGAAAAGGCTTGATACCCATTTGGTATTCTTTCATAATAAAAAACGAGGAGAGGAATTTCATCAGCTGGTGATGTCAGCGAAAGGAGCGGAATTGAGGTTAGTTTTATCCCATCTTAAGGACATACGCAACATAGTTTGAACTTTATTGTCTTTTTCCCTGGAGTTGAAGAGTTCCAATGCTTAAAGGAACTGTGTGCTACATTTTAATGTCTAAATATGCCGTTGTACATTTCCTTTAAAACAAGTTTGGATAAACAAAACATCTAGAATGTATGTTTCATAATTTGTGTATATTTTTCTTTGAATTATGCAAGAATTTTGATTAATTAATATCTTTTCAAAACCCCTGGTAATGCATGCTGATTTTTTGTCTACGAACATCTGATGACACTATAATCTTAAATTAAGAATATTTTGAAAAATTATCAGTAGGTAAGGTACATGTACGTTGCGTATGTCCTTAATGTTTATAAATAAACTTTATTTCAAGAATACTAGAGCGGGCACGGGTATTATTGAACACTTAAAAACAAAATTTAAAATCTTTAATTAAAACATCATTTATAGAGAATCCTGTTAATTTTTGGTAACAGTGTTATTCAATAGTTATATTCAAATGAGTATATTCCTCTAAAAAAGAGAGGAAATGTTGATTTTATTGTGTTACTTTACAAATAAGTCAGAGGCAGTTATTGAACACGGAGGATATCAATGAACAAAGTGGAGTGTATTACTGAACACAATATTTAATGAAGTAAATGTTTGATAATTACACGATACAAATAACAAAAACAGTAAATAAACATTATAAGCATATATTCAACAATAGTCACATTCAAATTCAAGTGCTTCTAATGTTTCATTATCTAATAAGGTCAAATCCATGTAGGTAACACAAGTTTTGTGCATCCATCTTGGACATTTTGTGCATCCTATCCAGTTCTCCGCGTCATTGTTTTCCTTTCCAAGGCATTTTGCACAGCTGGTGTAATCTGTCGACATTTCTTCATCATCACTGTCTGCTAGTGGAGGTTCGAATTCCTCATCACTCTCAGAAATTTCGCCATTTCCTCGTTTTTTCCCACCTTTCTTGCCACTTTTTTTCTGCTTTTGTTTTTTTAACATTTTTTTCGTCTCTCGTTCCTTCTGTTTCCTGACTTTTTCTTCCTCTTTAGCTTTCTTCTTTTCCTCTCTCTGTTTCTTCCTTGCCTCTTTCGCTTTTTGTTCATCGTCTTTTCTTTTCTGTCTCTCAATAAGAATTTCACGAAATTTTTCACTGGTTATTGCTTTAGGTAGAGGAGGCAAGGCCTTCTTTGTAGATTTTCCAGTCTTTACCACTGGAATTTGAAGGAGTTCATCAAAAGCTGGAGAAACGGAGGATGATGAAGAGGCAGTCATAGGGGTAGATAACATAGTGTTCATTGTTGAGCTGCAGAATGAAGCTTCATTTGATGTTACATGTAATACTGTAGATGTTTTCAGGTTACAGGCTGGAGACTTGTCCAGAGGTGCAGATGATTTGGAAGGCACTACAGCATTCTCGGATAAAGATTTGGTTAGAGGCAATTCTGAGGACACCATCATGTTGCCGGCCGAAGGTGACAGCAAAGCAGCAGACTGATCCGACATGTTGGAAGCTGAAGGCAGGGTATTAGAGCCCGTTAAGTTGAAATAAGAGGCAGAAGGCAATGCAGCAGATTCTGGCAATTTACTAGATGAAGCTGAAGGTAAAACAGCAGACTCAGTCATGTTGGAGGAAGAAACTGATGACAAGTTGCAAGAAGAATTCCCAGACGAATTTAAAGCACCATCTCGTTGGGGCAAGGCACTCGGTGATGATAAGGAAACTGTTGAACAAGAAGAAGTAGAAGACTGAAATATGTAACTTGGCTGCATTTTGACAGTGGAGAGGGGTTTACTTGGGTTAAATGGGAACAATCCACTCTCTTTAAATGCTTTTACAGCAACATCTGGGGTGGTGGATTTCATCCATGCGTTTCTAAATACACTAGCAAATTTTGTTTTTGTGACGTATTCACCAATATTTTGTAATTGGTAATCCCTAACTGCTTGTCGCCAAGAATCTTTCAGACAATTAAAGAGGCGCAGATCACATGGTTGAATAATATGGGAAGCATGAGCAAGAAAGCAGTAAAGTTCAACCCCATTTTCTCTGCATAGGTCACATACTTCTAGAGTGAGATGGGTTGAGTGACCATCAACAAGCAGAAGAGCAGGTTTCTTCACACCAGAAACATTGATATGAGGTATGAAAACATCTTTCATCCATGTGTAGAAAAGCTCCTTGTCCATCCAACCAGTAGCAGTCCTACCCATCACTGCCTCTGGAAAACCATCAAGGGGATTATAAGAAAACCTCTGGCCAGGAAATACAATAAGAGGCTTAAGAAAATGCCCACTAGCAGACATGCAAGCTAGCACAGTAACTTGAGACTTGTCAGAGGAAGTAAAATTATAGATACTTGGAACCCCTCTTGGTGCCAAGACTTTCCCGCTTTTAGGACACAGTGGAAATCCTGACTCGTCCGCGTTGAACCACCTTGACGGGTCAGTCCAAAGAGAAGGGTCCTTAATGTCAAGATCAATATAATTTTTGAGATCACTGAACCACAGTTCCACTTTTTGAGGAGTTATCACAGCTCTCTCCTTTGCAAGCTGTTGAGGCGTCCTTTCATTAATGACAGGATTTCTCTTTATAAAGGCATAATACCAATCCTTTCCTGGACGATTGTTCTTAAATGGGTTTGGTCGTTGATCTCGCTCTAAAATTTTTTGAACTGTATCCAAAAGCTCATTTCTTGTTCGCCCAAACCCGATTGCAGCCATTTTACATGCCCAGTCTGCAAGCTTTGCCTCCTCGTTTTCTGTAAGAACTGGACGAGGTCCACTTTTACAAATCAGTGGCAGCTTACCATTAACTTTATATGATAAAGTGGCTTTTGGTATCGAGTATATTTCTGAAGCCTTGTTCAAACTGATGTTTTTATTTTTAATGAGCATAACTGCTTCTTCCAACAATTTAGTATCATACTGCTTTCTTCGTTTAACTCCAATCTGACGACTCATTCTGTAATATTAAATATTTGAAAATTGACAAATTGTAGACCTCATTTGTTTATTTGTTTTGTTTTGTTATGTTTTGTTTTCTTTTTAAATCCAATTTTAATCAATTTAAAAAGAAAATATTTTAGTAGACTTTTAAAATTGTATGATATTTAAAGAGGAAAAGGAAATAGATCATCAGTCTCATTTGCACTTAAATAAAAAAAAAAATTTGAACTTATTCTGCTTTTCATAAGGTGTCTATCTAATATCTATTCTATTAAAATTTTCTGTGTTTTTTTAATTTGATTTTATCTTGAACTCATTTTTATTTAAAATGTTAAAGAAACTAATAAAATAACTTCTGTGTGTGTTTTTGTATATGCTATTTCAAATATGTTTGATTGTTCAATAAAATCCGTATTAAATAATATTGTAGGCAATTACTGAACACGTATTGCCTAGATAATCCCGTAAAGACACAATGAATTTGGTTTCGAATTTAGTTTTACACCACTAACTTCCGGTTATTACATTGCAGAATTGATCATTCACGGAAAAGGAAGCGAGTAATCATTCTATATTTATACACGTGTTATTCTATAAATTGTTGTACTACGTCATGGAAATACCGGAAGTAACCAGAAATAGCAACGTTTTCTTATTAAAGTCGATGTTCTCACTTACCTGGAGCGTGAAGTTTGTCGATCATTCAAAACCAAATCTTCTAGAAAAAATCGCACGTGCCGTTATCGATATGGTATCGAATTATTTAATTGGATGAAAAATGTTCAGTATCTCCCGACAGTTCAATAATACCCGAATCCGCTCTACCCTATATTGGTGTCATAATTTTTTTTACTAAGGAGCCTACAGAAACTATGGACACAGAAGAGGGAGAGTACTCTAACGAAGAATGGAGGAAGGGTAAAATTATTTTTAGAATTATCTAAGCTTTAAATATATGAGTCTTCCTTATACAAAATTTGGAATGTATTTATGAATTATTTCAGAGAAAATATTGAAGGATTTCAAACACTGGCAAATGAGCCTTGAGAAGAACAGGGGGAGAAGATTGCTGAGCAACATACAGATCTAGACTTATATATTTCCTTGACATCCTCTGTACAAATTTACAGGAAGGAATAAATCAATCAAACCCTGGAATATTTAACTGGACGATATATTTTGAAACTATGAATCTATTCTGTATTTGGTATTTCATGATTATAGCAAACCATATCAATAGAAAGGATACCGGTCCTTCGGATGAGACCGTATAAACCGAGGTCCCGTGTCGCAGTAGGTGTTGGCACGAAAAAGACCCCTCACTGCTCAATGGCCGTAAGTGCCGAGCATAGGACAAAATTTGCAGCTCTCCACCGGCAAGTGGTGGCGTCTCCATATGAGTGAAAAATTCTCGAGAGGGACGTTAAACAACATACAATCAATCAATCATTTTATACGATTTATGTTACAATTTACACCTTTGAATATTTATGTTACAAAAAGTGTAAATTTACGTGACAATTTACACCAAGCCGCGAACCCTAACCCTCCTTAGGTAATGTAGATGCAAGTTTGTTCAAATTATGACCCCCGGGGGAAGGGTGGGATTACAATGGGCGATCAATGTTTTACATAGGAATATATAGGAAAAAGAATCTGCTGATATTGAGGAACACGGGACATAGTTTCTCGGGTGAGCGTTGTGGTCCTTGAGACTTTTTTGGGTGGAGGGTATTTTATAAACCTTTTTTGAAATAAAAATATGTAGTTTTTCTACTTTGACAAGCTT